TCCGTTTTGAGCAGGGTTTGTATATTGGAAGACATCTGTAGTTCCCTGCGGAGATCACTGTAGAGTCGACATTCCACCAGAATGTGTTGAACAGTGAGGTCTGTTTGACATGCTAGACATTGTGGTCTGTGATCGCCGGCCAACAGGTACGCATGGGTCAACTTACAATGGCCAATTCGTAGTCGGCATAAGACTGTCTGCTGCCGACGATTCAGTTGCTTCGGATAAGTCCATTTTTCGATACTTGTCTGGACGGATCTCATGTGTCCGTCATATAGGTCCCATTTGTGCTGCCATGCTTGTTTTGTGTGTCTTTTAAGTGTTTTACATAGTCAGATAGCGGAGTAGGAATGCCTTCATCCGGTGGCATGGTGGCTGCTTGCTTTGCCGCTGCATCAGCCAATTCATTGCCGATAATATTCACATGACTAGGTACCCATATGAAACGGACTTTTTTTGGTCATTTTCTAGTGAGCTGGTTAAGTTCAAGATTCGACTTATTCTTTCATCCTTGGTGAAGTTATTTCCTATGGAGCTGATCACACTCAGAGAGTCTGATACTATCGAACACGCTAAGCTAGATGACAATGCAAAGAATAGAAGTGCCTGCCAGATGGCATAACATTCTGCAGTGAAAATACTTGAAATCGGATCCAGTCCACATGTGGCAAACACTGTTAACTACTATTGATGCTCCCACTCCGGTACTGCTCTTAGATCCATCCGAGTATATGAAGAGATGATCGTGGAGGTGATCTGTAATTTGTTTGAAACGAGCGAGATACACCTGGGGTGCTGTCTCATTTTTAAGAAATACAGAAAGGCGAATATCAATATGTGGCTTTGACCTAGTCCAAGGTGGAGTGTCGTATGGGGCTCTCTGCAGCACATCCCTTATTGATATGTTGTTCGCTTGTTGGAATTCAAGGCTACGGATTCTGGCTGGACGTGTATACGTTGGACGATTTGTATGTTCGTTATCGCTTTCCAATATACTCAGATTAATATGTCTGGTAAGAGATTTTATTTTAGTCATATAGATGGCAGTTTGCATTTCACCTCTTAATTGTAAGGGTATTGCTGCAGCATCACAGAGGACGGCACTTGAAGGACTCGTACGAAAAGCCCCTGTAGCCGCTCTTAGGGCTGCCAGTTGAATCCTTTCAAGTGCCTTGATCTTGGATGGTCTTGCAGAATTGTAAACAACTCTGGCATAGTCAATTCGAGACTCGATTAGGCTCTTGTAAACCTTTATGAGAGCTTCGCGGTCTGAACCCCATCGGGTATTTCCTATGCATTTGATCAGGTTGAGAGATTTTCTACAACGAGTTGTGAGATGTTCAATTTGATCCTTCCAGTAGAGCTTGTGGTCAAAAATAATGCCCAGGAACTTAACAGAGTTTTCAGCTTTTATAGTTTGTCCTCTCAGTGTGAGAGAGACTGCGGATGTGCTGTGCGAAGTCTGCAAAAATGGATGCACGTCGATTTTGTTGCTGAAAAGGAATACCCTCTATCCCTTGCTATAGAGTCTAGTCTGTTTATTTCATCCTGCAGATGGTCAAAGTTTCCATCAAGTGCGGCGGTGGAGAATATGCAGAGATCGTCTACATATAAGAGGGGTTGAATGTTCGGAGGAGTGCTATCAACCAGGAAGTTAATGGCTACGATGAATAAAACACTTAGAACGGATCCTTGTGGAACGCCATTTTCCAACCTCCTTGTCGAGGACCTGGAGTCTCCGACCTGGACTCGGAATGAGCGATGAGACAAGAAATTTTGGATAAGTTTTGGG